CGGCCGCGTCATCCGCCTGGACACCTTCTCGAAGCTCCTCGGCCCCGGCCTCCGCCTCGGCTGGATGACGTCACACCCCAGCTTCGCCAAGGTGGCCGGCCTGGCCATCTCCGCCTCGACCCTCGGCCCCGCCAGCCTCAGCCACGTCTACATGGCGCGCCTGCTGGAGCAGTGGGGCGACGCGGGGCTGGACGCGTTCGTGTCGTCGCTGCAGCGCAAGTACGCGCGCCAGGCGGCGCTCGCGGACGCGGCGGCGCGGCGCCACCTGGCGGGCCTCGCAACGTGGGCGGCGCCGGCGGGCGGCATGTTCATGTGGTTCAAGCTGGTGGGGCTGGAGGATTCAATGGAGCTTCTTGAGGCCGGGGCGGACGCCAAGGTGGCGGTCGTGCCGGGCAGCGTGTCGTCGGTCGTGGGCGCCATGGCCGCCGCGGCCGCGGAGCGCAGCAGCGGCGGCGGCGGCACCAACGGGCACGCCGCCAACGGGCACGCCGCCAACGGGCACGCCGCCAACGGCCACGCCGTCAATGGTCACGCCGCCAACGGCCACGCCGCCAATGGCCACGCCGCCAATGGCCATGCCGCCAACGGCCACCCCGCAAACGGTTACCCCGCCAACGGCCACGTGACCATCACAAACGGCGCGGGCGCAAACGGCCACCACGCCAACGGCGGGGACGCTGCTGCCCCCATCGGCCGCGCGCCGGGGGAGCCCGCGTGCCCGTTCTTTCGCGTGAGCTTTGTCAGCGTGAGCGAGGAGGACCTGGAGGAGGGCTTTGCCCGCCTAGCGGGCGCCATCCACGTCCTGAGGGCCAGGCACGCCCCCAAGTGCGCGGCGCCCGCCGCGGCGCCCGCCGTAGAGGCGCTCGTCGCGAGCGGGGTTTAGGGCGGCGCTGGAAGTCGCCACGGCCGCGGCGCTGGCTGCGCCTGATTCAAGGGCTGCCCTTGTCGTGATTGGCCTCCGCCTCGTCGGGGCTGCCCTTTCACACACCCAAACAGCGCCAAACCCAAGCCGCATGCAATTGTAGCATAGCCGTCTGGTGTGGCCGTTGGCTGGCAGGCTGCTGCCCTGCGCCGCGTGACTTGTGCCCCATGTGGGCTGCCGGATTTTGTGTTGTCTGGGGCGGCGTACACCCCACCGCGCCCTGATGCCATTCGACGCTGCCGTGACACACCGGCGTTGGCGTTGAGACCACACGCCGCCAACCGGCTCCAGCCCTGCTGGTTGCCCCGTGCCGCATCGCCGTCAAGCAGCGGCGCGGCGCGCGTTATCCAGCTGGCTACACGCACATTTGCCATCAGACAGACTTGAAACGCGGCGCCTTGTGGCGCCAAGCACTTGGTGGTGTCCCAATTCAGCCACCTGCGCGCAAACCTCGTCGCGCTTTGCCTGGCTTGCGGCGGTGGAATCAAGGCCGTCGCCTTTGACTGCAATATTCGCATCTATCCGATGCACAGAGCGTGGGCAGAGGGGCCTTCGTGCACATTGTGTTTGGGCTGCCTGTGGATTTATGGCAGTTGTGGTTTTGGAGGCTGGCGTTCGCAGCTGAGCCTGCCATGGTCATTCAAGCAGCCTGCTGCGGCCAGCCGCTCTGTCTCCCATCCCTGCATCACGTTTCAACGGGCTGTCGATCCATCCGACCCAGCGACGCTGCATGTGCAACACGAGAGAGCATGAGGGCGGGCGGCTGCGGGTGCCACATCTGTGGACCAAGGGCGCCGCTGTGTACTAACAAGCGTCTGCTGGGGGACGACGACGACCAGCTGCTGTTGCACACAACATCCCGCGCCACGTGTAATGCTTGCTGACTACCGTACTGCAGGTTTTATGCTGCAGTGTGCACCATCGCTGCAATACTAAGTGTTTTGTGTCGTGGCTGGGCTGAGCGTGTTATCTTGTTGGCCGCAGACACGAAACAAACGACACAGATAGTGGGCATGCTCTGAACTGTTCAGCGTCAGGTCCAGCATTTATAAATTGCATTGCTTACACGACCTCAAAAGCCCCTCAAAAGCTTTCTCCCTTGAATCAATCGAAGCGCTGAGGGTGGGGGGTTTTATTGTGCTCCAGCGGGGAACCTGCGCCGCTGGCGCGTCAGGGCATCGGAAGGACAGGGGCCCAGACAGCCAGGTGGGCGAATCAACATCAGCCAACAAGCACCGGGTGGTGCCTAAAATGCGATGAATACTGCTCATCGAGTCGGCGGCGTGGGAGGCGTTTGCAGCCTCCCCTTCAAAAAACAATCAGGCCTGCCCGACTGCCTGCCTGCTCAACCCAGATAACGCCTTAAAGACTGCGAGGTTGGTGGCTGCGGCACTGGCCAGCTGAGGCCTTGCATAAGTCCCGGGATAATGAGGGGGAAAGGGAACGAAGAGCAGAGGCGGGAAAGCCACATCCGCTCCATGCGCCTTGTCACTGTGCTGTGATGAATCAAACAGCCTTGCACCCAACACATCCACGTCTCCGCACGGGCGCTAGTGCTGCCGCGTACATTGATAGCCAAATGGATGGGACACCTTGGCCAAGTTTGAGCCAAACCTGCTCCTGTGAGTGCATTGATGTATCATGACACCAATAAATTACCATGAAGTTTCATGAATCACCAGGACCTGCGCCTCAGGGACGGCTTGTCCTGCGCTGCCGCGACAGCCTTGGGCCCCTTCGCTGCCGCCTTGGCGGCCGGCTTGACCGCCGCAGCCGCCACCATGGGCCCGAGCACCTCGCCCGCCTCAGCCTCCGCCGCAGCCCCGCTGGCTGCCGGCGCCGGCGCCATCGCGGCGGCGACGGCGGCCGCGATGGCGATCGCCTCGGGGTCGGCCTCGGGCTGGCGGCTGGTCTCGGCTGGCTCCTGGTTCCCGTACAGGTGGGCCAGCGTCAGCGACGCCTTGAGCTGCGCGACCGTAACATTGGACCCCTTCTCCGCCTTGAACGTGAGCCGCGCCGCGCCGCAGGGCGGGAGGTTGACCATGTTGTCATCAAAGCGGCCCTTGAGGTCGGTCTCCGCCACAACCAGCAGCGCCGCGGCGTCTGCGGCGGCGAGATCAAAGCTGACCGCGTCGGGCGCGTCCTGGGCGAAGCCCGAGGTTGTGATCTTGGGCTCGGCGAGCGCCAGGTCCTTGAAGTTCACGAAGAACAGGTCCGAGGTACTGGTCTGGGTGGGCTTGAACTTGGTGGGCTCGGTGGTGGCCGTGACGCGGAGGAAGCAGGTGCTTTCGGTGCAGCCGGGGACGCTGCGCAGGACCTCGGCCACCGTCGCGTTGAGCACGATGGCGGCGTTGAGCGCGGGGACGCCGACGGTGATGCGGCGCGCCCAGGCGGGCGGGGAGTCGGGCGCCGCGGCCGCGAGCGAGGGAGCCTCCTCCGTAGTGGCGGGGCCGGACGCCGGGAGGGGGTCGGCGAAGGGTGCGTGAGGTGGGCCGCGGCCCTTGAGGCGGCGGCCCGCGGAGCCCTTGACCTTCACTGCGGCCGTGGTCGGCGGCGCCGCGGCCGCGCCGCCCGTTGTGACGGCGGGCGCGGCGCAGGCCTCGCCGTCGGGGCTGGCCAGGCGGAAGATTGAGATGTCCAAGGTTGCTGTGGTGGGCAGCATGTCATCGGATACCACGAAAACGTGGGCGCGGCCGTTGTCCAGGACTGTCTGCACCACAAAGTCGGCAAACTGGTGCTTGACGCGGTACTGCATGGGCTTGTAGCGGCCCTAACGAGGTTGCATGAGGGTGGAGAGTGCGAAGCGACACGAAGGGGATCGTGTAAGTGTGTGGGCATCCAATCTCATCCAGCAAGAGAGCTAGACGACATCCATTGGGCGAGATTGCACCACAACAGCCTTCAGGAAAGCTCAATCCCTCCTGACACAGAGGCACATGCATGGCCCCGACTGCACACATCCGTGAAGGCAGGACAGCCCCTCACACACTGAGATCAAACGCGCGCGCCGCACCTCGTAATCGATGCCGCTCCAGCTCGCGCCCGCCCAGACATCGTTCAGCTGCCAGTACAGGATGCCCATCGTCAGCCCCTTGGGCTCGGAACGCAGCCGCCGCCAGTAGCTGAACGCGGTGTCGATGCACATCGCCTGCTGCACGTGGTTCATGTAGAGGTACTGCTTCCACTTCGCGAACGACTCATCCTTGGTTGCCCCCTGCCAGCTGGCGGGCAGCCGGAAGTGCTTCATGTACTGGTCGGTCATCTCGAGTGTCTTGTTGTAGTGGCGCTGGCGGAACTCCATGCCAGGCGACCCGACAGCCCAGTCCTCGTCAGCGGTGGCGGCCTTGAAGGTGGGCCAGGTGGGGAAGGACGGCCAGCCGTGCTCGCTGACGAACTTGGCCATGGGGTAGTTCTTAAAGTTCTGGCAGTCCGCGTTATAGTCGTAATGGTGGACTGCATATTCAATAAAGGGGTTGGGGCGGTGGCGATGATGGGGGGATGTGAGGCGACAGCGGTGTATGAGGCCTGCATGCAACCGCTGCGAGCTCACCAAGTGATGTGTCAGCTGTAGGCAACCGCGACGCTGTCTTCCAGCTTGACGCACACACGTTGCACACAGCAATCTAGAAACAGCTACAATAGCACCACCACTGCCAAGAGATGACAGCAGCAACAGCATCACTGGCTGGTGGTGGCAGCCTCACCATCGCCGTAGCGTGGGTCCCAAGCGCCGCCCCAGCGCTTGATGTAGGGCTTGCGGCTGATGACGCCGTTGGAGGGAGAGCTGTCGACAAACGGCGTCTCCGGCACCAGCTGTGCACAGCAATCACAGGGCAAGGCACAAGGTGGGCCCAGGGTTCAGCAAGCACAGGGTGCAGGTGGGGGGGGGGGTGATCTGGGCCAGATCCCAACCATCCACATTATTCACACCTAAAGGCTTCATGCACAGTCTCCCGTCCGCCCAGCTGTCACCACGCACAGGTGCACAGGCTCATCACATGCAAACCTCAATCTCACACATGCGCAACGAAATGAGGGGATACCTCACGTACGAGAAACACCAAACAGTCTCAGCCACAACGAATGCACATTCACGGGCAGCTCGACCCCCACCTCCTGCATGAGGCCGCCGATGGCGGCCACAAACAGCTCCGTATAGTCGTGGACGAACAGGGCCGGGTTGTTCTGGGTCTCACGGTACCACTCCAGGCTGGTCTCGATCTCATTGTTGCCGCCCCATATCACGACACTCGGGTGGCCCCCGATGCGGCGGATCTGCTGCTCCACCTGGAGTGCAGGTTTGGTGGTGGTGGGGGAGGGGGGGATGAAACAGGGTTCACCAGGAGTGCCACGTGCTGTGTGCTGTCACTTCGTGTATGTTGCTGGGTTTGACCAGCAGCCCATACCCTTGCAACGCCACGGGCTGGGGAAGGCGCGACAGTGAGGTGCTGTGCAGGAACAAACCCATCGGATCACTCCAGCCCTGCGCGGCCGCGCACCTCAGCCTTGACCTCTGCCATAAACTTGTCATCACGAGGGTAGGACGCGCACGCAAACATTGTCTCCTGCCACACCTAAAAACAAGATAAGGTTTGACGATCGTGCCGCGGGAGCGAGAGGCAGGCACCGTTAAGCCAATCCTGGGATGCATGTACGCGTGCCATAAGCATACTCCACCTGGCCTGGAAGGTTTCCCTGCGACATGCACCACTCCTCCACCGTTCTTGTCGTGCTGCTGGGACGTCACATACCCCACGCCACACCCAGGGGGCCTCACCAGGAGGCCCTTCTCGTCGGCCAGGTCATAGAACTGCTCAGGCATGTACCAGCCGCCGCCCCACACGCGCAGCATGTTCATGCGGCTGTCAAGCGCCAGGTCAACGGTCGACGCGATCAGCTCCGGCGTGGCGTTGGCGGGGATGGTATGGAAGGGGATGATATTCGAGCCCTTGGCGTAGATCGGCACGCCGTTGACCTAGGTTTTGGGAGTTTCAAGGGTTTAGGATTGTTGGGTTCATACAGGAGCTCAGGGCGGCTCCAGCGTGGGCTTTTGCCAACAAAGCCTTGGCTGCATGATGCAAAGAGTCAGCCGCGGGGTGGTGGGCAACCAGGCACCCCCGCTCCGCCTCGCCACCGCCGCGGCGGCGCTCGCTGCTCGACGCTTGGGCGGGTCGGCGCCCGCTGATCAGCAGCCCAGCGCGCACCTTGAAGTACATTGATTCGCCCTCAATGCGGTCTGCCAGGTTGGGGCCGCCCCAGCCTGTCCACACACCCAGCTTCTGGTTCCACCTGCAGTGGGCACGATTCGAGGTGTGAGCACGGAGGGGCGCTGCTCAACCATCTCAATGCGTGGATGCGAGCGGAGACATCTGGGTAGGAGACGCCAGCGCGACCTCTTGCACAAGCCGTCCGACTGCGGTCAACCGCTGCGGCCGGCGCCATACGCCGCCGACTGTTGGTGGCTCTACCGAGGCCCGTCGAAAGATCTGGCCATCACTGCACCCACCAGGGGTTGTCGCCGCCGGGCATGCTGCTGTTGGGGTAGGCGCCGGGGAAGTCGTACCCGCTGACGGGGTACACCTCGTTGGGGGCCGCCAGGGCCTCGCTGACAAACGTCCACTTCTTGCCGTCCACCCAGCCGTACTGCCCGCAGTTCGACATGCCCGCGCACGCGCGGCCGCCGCCGCCGGGCTTGACGCTGTTGGCCCAGCCGCCGCCGGCGCCGCTCAGAAGCTCCGAGGCCGCCTCGCTGAGGGGCTTCTCAACCAGCTCGACGGTCCTGAAGCCGACGCGCCGCTCGAGGACAGACGGCGCCGGGCTGGCGGCCGCAGCAGCACTGCTGCCATCGACCTTTGCGTCGCCGGCGGCGGCGTCCAGGGTGGCATTGGGCGTGAACTTCACGACGAGCCTGTACAGCGGCTGCTCGCCGTAACCGACAGGCCACCAGAGCTTCACGCTGCTGGCAGGGACGGCGATCTCCAAGATGGGCCCGGTGACGAGCCCGCGTGCGGCGTCTGAGGGGGCGATCTTCAGCTGGGCAGCCGCCTTGAGGCCGGTGAGGGCGGGAAGCTCAGCAGACAGCACCCCGTGGTCGCCCGCGTCGGGCGCGAGCAGCTGCGCCTCGACGCGCAGCAGGAAGTCGCCGTTGGGCTGGCGGGCCTGGCGGACGTGGGCGGAGCGGAGGACGGCGGAGTCGTAGCCCAGGAGGGAGACGCCGCCAAAGATGCCAGACGCGGCCAGGCCGGGGCCCCAGTCCCTGCGGGCGGGGAGGTTGGAAAGGCGGTTTGGAGCTGGGGGTTGGCAGGGAGTGAAGGGCAAGGTGGCTTTGCGGGCGTATCCAGGAGTGATGTTGACTGTGTGGCGCAAAAGCTGCTGTTTGTTCAAAGGTCAAGCATTGGAGCAGCCGCTTTGCATGAGGATTCCCTGCTTGTCCCAGCGTCATGTCTGGGTGCCACAGCCTTGTCAACGTCTGCTGCTCTGGTTGTTGTGTGAGGCCTCACCATCCAAAATCGTAGGCAGGCTTGCGCGCAAAGTTGTAGGCATCGGTGTTGCCCAGTTGCTGCGGTACACGGGTTTAGCGTGATAGCAGCACTGAGGCAGCGGACAGGAGTGTTGTGCAAGGGCCAACCAAATCCTGGTACGCCCGGCATGTTCAGCTCCTGTCTGTGCCTCCCTACCAGACCTGCCGCATCCTTCAGAGCATTGACCTTGCTATCTGGTGCTGGCTGCAACCAACTCCGTAGTGCTGGTTGACAGCCTAGTGCTCACCGTGACCGTGGGAATCCAGTAAGGGTGGTTTTTCTTGCGCTCAATGGCGATGGGGATAGCTGGGTGCAGCGTGATGCGCAGTGTGTTGGCGCCACTCTGCAGCCACTGCTTGGCTGGCAGGGTGTAGCGCCTGGATGTCCGTGAGTGTGCGCGCGTGTGTGTGTGTGTATGTGTGTGTGTGTGTGTGTGTGTGTGTGTGTGTGTGCGCGTGCGTGCGTGCACGCGCGCGCGTGCGTGCGTGCGTGGGTGCGTGTGCGCGTGCGTGCATGCGAGGCGCTGCTGCCAGCTGCAGAGTCCAACCAGGGTCATCAAGTATCTGCTTTGCACCACCACCCTTCCGCATGCGCTGCCGTTAAAACCTCCACACGCTTTGTAAGGACCCTGCTGCATGCATCAACAAGGGCGCATCTTCAGCTGCAAATAGGAACGGATGCACACCTGTGGAAGTTCTCCAGCTTGGCAAGCAGCTCCCCGTTGAGGTACACGCTGGCAAAGGTGTCAACGCCGTCGAGCACCAGGTCGACACTGGAGCGGGCCAGCAGCTCCTCTGTTGGCGTGAACACCGCTGCAAAGGTCCATGTGTCAAGGGCAACCCAGCGCGTCTCAATCTCACCAAACCTTTTAGGTGGGCGGGTGCGCAGTGAGCGGCAAACCATCAGGAGCGCGGAGATGGCATTAAAATTCACATTTTGCTGTGGCTGATCATGCTCCCTGCGGGGAGCAAGAAACTGCGCAACATGCGAGGGGCGTGGCGCCCGGGATCTCACCTGTAGAGGGGGTCCTGTATTATCCCCTCCTTTTGCAGCAGATTCACAGGATACGCCGGCTGCGGGAGAGACAGTGTAGGCGTGAGGTGCATAGATGGCAGCGCGCATGGCGGACTTGCAGTGTGGCTGCAGCGGCGGTCAGCACCAGCTGCAGCCGGTCAGCAGCAGCAGCAGCAGCGGCGCCAACAATAGCTAGTGCAGCACTGGCGACTGCTGAGGGATTTAAGATGTGATCTTAACCGTCTTGAAAAGTCCCTTATCGTTCGGGCCTCACCAGGCTGCTGCGGAGGCTGATGGACCCGTTGCCGTTCGAGATGCCCCAGGACAGCCCGTCAAGCAGCATCGCGGTGCTGGAGGACTGCCCTTGCGAAGCCATGGCACCGCATAAGGCCCCGAGGAGCAGCAGGGCCACGGCCCGCTGCATGATGGGCACCCCGACCGATCAAGCCCTGGTACCTGGCAGAAATCGAGTTCTGCTGGGTGCTTCGGTGTAATATTATGACTTATAATGTATATTCATGCAACTTGAATACTGCGGAGCTGAGATACGGCAAAGACGAAGAGGCAGCTTTGTGCTTTTGAGAGTGATGAAGCAGGAAAGGTGACCTGCCCGATCAGGACCCTCGGCGCCGGCCCTACAAGACACCAATGAACCCGATCAAAAGCTTAAAAAGAGTGATCCATGAAATTATCGCCATGTTACGCGCCCGGGCATGACGCCCTAGCACCAACATCCGCCATCAGCATGGCCTGCACGAGTACTGCCTGGATTTGCTGTATGTGTTCGTGCGGCAATAGTGGCTGAGGCACAAGAGCTAGGTCAGGCTGTTATCGAAACTCATGAATCCCTATGGTGTTGGACCCATGCTGCAGCGCCGGGCCCCAGCGTTGCGAAGTCAAGTCTGCCGATCAAATCAGCACCCCTCCACGGCTTGCGCCCCCCAGATTCGTGCCTGCAGCCACCACCATCGTCACAAAGAACAGACAGCCCACAGGCCCCATCCCCTAGGATTTAGGCTCCTGGTTGAGATGAGGAAGACGAGGCGCAACTGCGGAGCATGCGGCATGGTCCCACCTGCAAATCATTAAAGCAGCTGCCCAACGCATTGCTTTCACTGAGATACCAACCAGTGGCTGTTGTCAAATGCCGCCGCCGTCTCGATTCCAAAGAAAAGCAGGCAGGGGGCACTCCGATCGCTGTCATGGGTCTGGCAGACCTGTCTGACGAGAGGTTGAGAAACGTCACCTTGTATAACTAGTTCAGCACCTGCGACAGTCAACCCCTCTTGCGCAGCAGTTTGACAGTACGATTTAAGGGGGGTTCGAGCCTGCAGGGCACCAGGTTTGAAGTGCATCCGAATGTGTGCTTGGTATGCAGACTTGTGCAGCACGGCAGCACCCGTCACATGGAATACTGTAGGCACTGAATGTGGTGCGGTGGCATCCCATTGGCGCAGCCAAAGACGAGCAGCAGCGCACAAGCAGCGGGCCACCACCCAGCACAAGCGCCTCTCCTAGGCCGGGGTTTGGAGCAAATAGGCGCCCCTCGACCTCTTCCGTAATCGGGCAGTGCTGCGAAATCACTGACAGGAATAGTTGAAACTTTTAGAATGGCCGCTTGAAGCTTTGAGGGACCCAGCCCAGCCTGGGCCAGCCTGGAGGTGAGCCTGGAGCAGGAGGTGCAGTTCTGCTGCCTTTTTCTCGCCGACCCTGCAGTGCCACCACTGTGGTGAGGCCTGCCCAAGACCATATGACAGCCAGCACTGTCATATGGTCTTATTGCCACATACAGCTCCAAACTCGAAGAAGCGGCTCAGCAACGAGATGAACTTAGCACCACGTTCCCTCTACAATACATCGCTATCATTGATCACATAGCCAGCAGTGGCGACAAGTTTTCTGGTGGTTGTATCTATCACCGGTAGCCTACAGATGGTCAACGTGTAACTCAAGTGTCGAACCAGATCGCGCACACGACACATCGTGTGCAACGAGTAAAACCCAAGTTCGAGCATCTCTGGTGTAATGGGCTCGCCCGCCCTCAACCTTGGTCAACATGCGGTCACGTTCCGACTCAAAGGACTGCCTACCCGCCCTGCCAACGCCGCAGACATCTCGCATACAGCATGCCGCAAAGTAGGTTCAATCCGCGGCCCTGGCGCACACAGCACTGCTAAGGCTCTGCGCATGCGCATGCTGCTTGTTTCACTGCAACCTGCTGCACTGCTGCATTAGCGTCTGGAATGGCGGAAGAGCGTACAATCCATATCCATATGCTGTGCACGCTCAGGCCATCCCTGAAGGAGCCTACCCGCCCTTGGACGCCTGGAGACGCGGGCCGCCGTTTGCTTCAATCGGAGCACTACTCCACCCGACCACAGTCGTCGAGTGGGCCAGGCGGCTCCGCTGGATTTTTCGTGGCTGCAACAGGCCAAACCCCATCGCAAGTGCCCAGATTGTGCAACCCTCTGCTGCCAAGACCATCCACCAGCAGCAGTAGCAGCAGTAGCAGCAGCAGCAGTAGTAGGAGCGGCGGCATCAGTTGCGGATTCGCCATCCTTGGAAGTGGCAGTAGGGCAGATGTGTGGGTTGCAAGCGAGCATGAAAATGATGAGCAGACATCATACACTCGAGCCCGATCAGCGGTGCTCACAGCGGCATCAAGCAGCAGCTTTGATGGCACGCGCCCCCTGCCGCCGCTCAGCAACGCGATAGGCAGCACTGCGCCTCACCGGCTGAGCGGCTGCGGGCGGCAATGTGCGTCGGCTGGCGCCCTATCGCGGCAACTTGCGTTACCGCAGGCCCACACCCCTGCATGCTGCCCGCGGCCAGCGAAGTTTGTTGGCGCACAGTCAGAAGGAGGCTGTCTTACGGGTGTAGTGAGTTCAGCGAGCATTTGCAGCTGGGCGAGCAGCAGCGCGGATGATGGTGGCCTCAACGACCAGCGGCTGGCGCTCTACGCCTCCAAGCCGACCACTCTCCGGGGACAGCAGCAGCAGCAGCAGCAGCAGCAGCAGCAGCAGCAGCAGCAGCAGCAGCAGCAGCAGCAGCAGCAACAACAGCAGCAGCATGAGGTGGACGAAGGTTGCCAGCGAGAGCTGGCAGAACGCAACGCACAGCAATGGCAACAGAGCCTGGCGCGTGCAGTCGTGGAGCTGCAAAATGCGTCCCTGGCGCCCACACCACAATCAGTGGCAACGCTGCTGCTGCAGGTGTCATATGTGCAATCGATGGTTGACACAGCGGAGGCGCAAGGCGATTTGAACAAGTGAGGGCAGGCCGTCTCTTGGCAGTGCGCCTCAGTGGCAGCACTGTGGTATCCCACACAGCCTACGCTTCATGCCTGATCATGCATGCTGTATGCCCTCAACCCCCAGCGCACAGCCATGTATGAGACATCGGAGGCTCATGTGGCTTGTGAGAGCCATTCTCGCGTGGTATGCCTGCAGGTGGCTGGAGTGCGGGCTCTCAGGTCCGCAGGGGGAGCCCGCTGGCCTGAGGGATGCTGTCGTGGCGGCGATGGTGCGATTGGCGGATTGCCCCAAGCCAGAGGTCTTGCTGAAGGTGCGCCCGCCGCTCCGCCGCGGATTTGTTCTTGTGAGTCAGGTTCGTGTGTTGCCAGTCGATCAGTTGGGCTGGCCACTCAAGATGCCATCGGCCTTGGGTAGAGCCGGCTTTGATGGATTGAGTCTTTGCTCTAGCAGCGACAGCCATGTCCGCCCTGCCTCCCTGTTGCAATGTCGGCAGGTCGGCTCTGTGCTGCTCCGGCTGCTGCCCGTGGGCTCATATCAGATGCAGCAGGCGGCACGCATGCTGTACCGCCTTTCCAAGGACGGCGCCAACGATACACGCTTCCGGCTTGGCGGGATGCTGCGTCCTGTCATCGGCGCAATCGGCGCCCACACCGCAGCACTTGCTGCAGCAAGTGGCGGCGCGCCGATCGGTGCAGCATGCAGTGCGGCGGCGCCAGCAGGGCCTGGTTTGGCGGCAGCGGCACTGGCCGAGGGTCATGCTGTGGCGGCGGCGGGCTGCGGCCGTGCAAACCAGCAGGCGGATGGGTGCTGTGGCGTGTTGCTGTATCTGTCGGCAGTGGTCAAGAATATCAGCTGTAGCACGGCCAACCAACGCGCGCTGGCGCGGGCTGGCGGTGTGGCGTGCCTGGGGCGGCTGCTGGCTTGCATGTGCGCAGAGAGGGGCGGGCAGCAACGATGGCAACAGCAGCAGCAGCAGCAGCAGCAGCAGCAGCAGCAGCAGCAGCAGCAGCAGCAGGAGCAGCAACAGCAGCAGCAGCAGGAGCAGCAGCAGCAGCAGCAGCAGCAGCAGCAAGGCAATGACCAGCCAGTGCAGGTTGCTGTCCAGGCGGCAGCAGCGCTGCGGAATCTGGCAGTCGAGCTCCAGCACGCGGCACATTTTGCCCGACCCGACCTGCAGCCCGCTTCAAACACAATCGGAGGTGGCAGCCACCCAGGCAAACGCGGCGTTGAGCCGTGCGGCGCTGGCAGCTGCCAGAGCTGTTTGTCGGCGCTGATGCAGGCGCTGGAGTCGTACCCAACAGAGGAGGAGCTCGTGCTCAACATTTCAAGGTGCCTGAGCAAGCTGTCTAGCGATACTCGCTGCTTGAACGCACTTGAAGCCGCACCCAATGCACTCCTAGTGCTGCTGCGGATGGCAGAGCTTCACCACAGCCGAGCGCCGGTGCTGCTGCGCATCGCGTTTGTGCTGGGCAATGCCACCTCACACAGCGCGCAAGCACGCACAGTGCTTGGAGACGACCTGCACGCGCGTGACACCCCAGTGCGGCTGCTGGTGCTGCAGTTCGATGCCGTGGCGGCCGCAGCTGCCGCAACTGGGTGCTTGGTCGATGCCGGTGGACATCTGCAGTCGATGGGGGGAACAAATGCGTCCACGACGTCAGCAGAAGCTGAGGAGGCGTGCGTGAAGCTGCTGCGCTTGCTTGCAAACTTGGCAATGCACGACCCTGCTGGCCGCGCACTGGCGGCGAGCGTCGACTTGGCGGGAGTGCTGGTGCAGCTGCTAGGTAGCTGCAGCTTTGAAAGATCTGGAGAGCTGGTGTTGAACGCTGTGGCAGCGCTCAGCAACCTGGCGTTCTACTGGAAGCCATTGCCAGCTCCTCCCTCCAACAAGGTGGGTGCAGCATGGTTGTTTTGTGTGCGTGTGTGTGTGTGATTGCGTGTGTGCGTTTGTGCGTTTATGCATGTGTGTGTGCGTGTGCGTGTGCGTGTGTGTGTGTGTGTGCGCGCGCGCGCGCGTGTGTGTGTGTGTGTGTGTGTGTGTGTGTGTGTGTGTGTGTGTGTGTGTCCTTGTGTGACAGACGGAAGAGCA